TAACACAACACCCATTCTGCAGCCCCCTGATCAAGAAGTCATGATAACTTTCAAGTTTTATTACTTAAATTCATTTTGTGAGGCTAGAACTGCTTAGTGATTCCTACAACGGATGGAGGCAAGGTCAACTGAAAACCTTCTGGAAAGGATAAACCATTCTACATCAAGTTAAGGACATTAGTGATTCCTAGAAAGATGTCAAAATTTCAACATTAACAGGACTTTGGAAGAAATTGATTCCAGGCCTCATGGATGACTTTGAGGAGTTTGAGACTGAAGTGGTGGAAATAGCAAGAGAACTAGAATGACAAGTAGAGCCTGAAGATATGACTAAATTGCTGCTATCTCACAAAAAAACTTGCACGGATGAACAGTTGCTTCTTTTGGAGGAGTAAAGAATGTGGTTTCTTGAAATGGAATCTACTGGAAGAAGCTGTGAAGACTGTTGAAATGACAACAAAGGATTTAGAATATAACATAAACTCAGTTGATAAAGGAGTGGCAGGGTTTGAGAGGATGGACTCCAATTCTGAAAGAAGTTTTATTTATTTTTATTAAATATTTATTTGACAGAGAGACACACAGAGAGAGAAGGAACACAAGCAGGGGGAGTGGGAGAGGGAGAAGCAGGGTCCCCGCCAAGCAGGGAGCCCGATGTGGAGCTCGATCCCAGGACCCTGGGATCATGACCTGAGCCAAAGGCAGACGCTTAATGACTGAGCCACACAGGCGCCCCGAAAGAAGTTTTATTATGGGGAAAATGCTGTCAAATAATACTGCATACTACAAAGGAATCATTCATGAAAGAAAGTTAACAGATACAGCGAACTTCACTGTTGTCTTATTTTAAGAAATTGCCACAGCTACCCCAAACTTTAGCAACCACCCTTTATCAATCAATAGCCATCAACACAGGCAAGACCCTCTACCAGCAAAAAGATTACATCTTGCTGAAATGTCAAATGACTATTTTTAGCAGTATTTTCAATTAAGATATGTACATTATTTTTTTAGTCATAATGCTATTGTACACTTAATAGACTACAACACAGTGTAAAGATAACTTTTATATGCACCAGAAAACCAAAAAATTCACTGGACTTGCTTTATCATGATATCTGCTTTATTGTGGTGGCCTGGAAAGAAACACACAATATCTCTGTTGTATTCCTGTACTAGCAATGAAATTGAATCAGTAATCAAAAACTCCCATCAACCCAAAGTCCAGGAACAGATGTGACTTCTACCAAAGAAGAGTTAATACCTATTCTTCTCAAACTATTGCAAGAAATCAAAGAGGAAGGAATACTGCCAAATTCGTTGTACAAGCTCAGCATTACCCTCATACCAACAGCAGACAAAAACACTACAAAAAAGAACATTACTGGCCAACATCCCTGATGAACTGACATGTAAGAATCTTCAACAAAATATTAGCAAGCTGAATTCAACAATACATTAATAAAAGGATCATGCACCACAATCAAGAGGGATTTATTCCAGGGATACAAGGATGGTTCAATATTTGCAAATCAACGGGTCGCCTAGGTGGCTTAGTTGTTAAGCGTCTGCCTTCGGCTCAGGTCATGATCCCAGAGTCCCGGGATCAAGCCCTGCATCGGGCTCCCTGCTCGGCGGGAGGCCCGCTTCTCCCTCTCCCACTCCCCCTGCTTGTGTTCCCTCTCCTGCTGTGTCTCTCTCTGTCAAATAAATAAATAAAATCTTTAAAAAAAAAAATATTTGCAAATCAATTAACAAAATGAAGGATAAAACCCATATGAGCATCTCAGTAGATGCAGAAGAAGCATTTGACAAAATACATCATCCTTTTATGCTAAAAACTCAACAAACTGGGTATATAGCGAACACCTCAACATAATAAGGAAGTACATGACAAACCCACACCTAACATCACACTCAATAGTGAAATGCTGAAATATTTTCCTCAAGATAAGAATGAGAAGGATGCCTACCCTTTCTACTTTTGTTCAACATAGCACCGGAAGTCCTAGCCACAACAATCAGTTAGGAAAAGGAAAGAGAAGGCATCCAAATTAGTAAGGAAGAAGTGAAACTGGTACTATCTATAGATCACAAGACACTATATGTAGAAAACCCTACACTGCACCAGAAAACCTATTAGAACTAATAAATGAATTCAGTAAGGTTGTAGGATACAAAATCAATATACAGAAATTTGTTCTGTTTCTACACACCAATAATGAACCATAACAAAGAGAAGAAACTATTCTATTTCTGCTGCATCAAAAAGATTAAAATACTTATGAATAAATTTAACCACGAGGTAAAAAACCTGTACTCTAAAAACTTTTAAGACACTGATGAAAGAAATTGAAGATGAGATAAATACAAAGATATACCATGCTTGTGGAGTGGAAGAATTAATATTGTTAAAACATCAATGCTACCCAAAGCAATCTACAGATTTAATACAATATCTATCTAAATAACAATACCATTTTTCACAAAACTATAAAAAAAACTCCTAAAATGTGTATGGAACCACAAAAGATCCCCAATAGCCAAAGCAATTCTGAGAAAGAAGAACAAAGCTGGAGGTGTTGTAATTCCAGATTTCAAGATACACTACAAATCTACAGTAATCAAAACAGTATGGTACTGGTACTAAAACACATGATCAGTAGAACAGTATAGAGAACCCAGAAATAAACCCAGAGTTAAATGGTCAATTAATCTATGAGAAAGGACGCAAGAATATACAATGGGGACAAGACAGTCAATAAAAGGTGTTGGAAAGACTAAAGAGCAACATGCAAAAGAATGAAATTGGACCACACTTTCTTATATCTATTTGAAAATAAACTCAAAATGTATTAAAGACCAAGACGTAAGACCTGAAGCCATAGAACTAAAAGAAAAAACAGGTAGTAAATTCTTGGACACTGATTCTAGCAATAGTTTTTGGATCTGTCTCCTCAGCCAAGCCAAGGGCAACAAAAGCAAAAATAAACAAATGGGACTCATTTACACACTAAAAAGCTTTTGCACAGTGAAGGAAACCATCAACAAAATGAAAAGGTATCCTACTGAATGGTAGTATATATTTACAAATCACATATTTGATAATGGGTTAATATCCAAAATATATAACAAACTCATACAACTTAACACCAAAAAACCCAAACAATCTGATTTAATAATGGCAGAGGACCCAAATAGACATTTTTCCAAAGAAGTCATACAGTAGCCAAGAGACACATCAAAAGATGCTCAACATTACTAATCATCAGGGAAATGCAAATTAAAACCACAATGAGGTTATCACAAAAAAAAAAAAAAATTATTTTTTTGAGAGAGAGCGAGCAAGCACGTGGTAGGGAGGGTGGGAAGGGAGAGACAAACTTAAGTAGAGTACATGCTGAGCGTGGAGCCCAGTGGGGGGCTTGATCCCACAACCCTGAGGATCACAACCTGAGCCAAAACCAAGAGTCAGAGGCTCAACCAACTGAGCCATCCAGGTGCTCCCAAGTATCACTTTACACCTGTCAGAATGGGTAAAATAAAAAAGAGCAGAAACAGCAAGTGTTGGTGAGGATGTGATGAAAAAGAAATCTGGTACACCACTGGTGGGAATGTAAATTGGTGCAGCCGCTAGAGAAAACAGTATGGAAATTCCTCAAAAAATGAAGAACAGAACCATATGATCTAGCAATTCCACTTCTGATAATTCCATTCATCTGAAGAAAATGAAAACACTAATTCAAAAAGATATATGCACCCCATGTTAATTAAAAGTATTTACAAAGCTAAGATATGGAAACAACTTGTGTTCATCAAGAGATGAAGAGATAAAGAACATGTGGCATATATATGGTGATACAGTACTCATCCATAAAAAAGAATAAAATCTTACCACTTGCAGTACATGGGTGGACCTAAAGGGTATTATGCTAAGTGAAATAAGTCAGAGAAAGACAGATACTGTATGATTTCACTAATATGTGTAATCTAAAAAGCAAGACAAACAAAACAAAACTGAAACAGACTTATAAATAAAGAGAACAAACTGGTGGTTGCCCAGGGGGAAGGGTTTTGAGGAGGTTGGATGAAATAGGTGAAGGGGATTAAGAAGTACAAACTTAGAGCTAAGAAGTAAGTCACAGGGATGTAAAGCATAGCATAGAAAATACAGTCAATAATATCTTAATAACTTTGATGACAGATGGTATCTAGACTTATGGTGATGATTTCGCAATGTATATAAATGTCTAATTACTATGTTGTACATCTGAAACTAATATCATACTGTGTGGCAATAAAACTTCAATAATAACAAAAGTAACAATAACAAAAACCATGCATGTTATTTACATATCAAATTCTAAGGAAATGGAACAAGAGTATTATTTTGAAAGCAAAATATTGATATCACGTATCTATCATCTTTAAGCCAAACTATTTGGGAAAATACTACGGGTTAAATTATATACAAGAAAACCCTGGGGATGCCTGGGTGGCTCAGTCGTTAAGGATCTGCCTTCGGCTCAGGTCGTGATCCCGGGGTCCTGGGATCAAGCCCCCCACATCGGGCTCCCTGCTCAGCGGGAAGCCTGCTTCTCCCTCTCCCACTCCCCCTGCTTGTGTTCCCTCTCTCGCTGTCTCTCTCTGTCAAATAAATAAATAAAATCTTAAAATTAAAAAAAAAAAAGAAAACCCTGAAAATGTTCATATTTACTGTGGTAATACAATCTTTTACTGGTACTGCCTGTAGTAAATGCCTGCTAGCTGGCTTTGAAATCTTTTGAATTATCTACTCTAATACTGCTGTGGCAACAGGACTGAATTATAATGAAAAATTTTTATAGCCAAAAGGAACCAAAACATATAAGTTCTCTTCACTGGTATTTTTCTTTATAAAATATAAAAGGTTATATATAAAACTTCATTTGTATACTACGCATTTAATATAATATTAAAAAAAAGAGAAACAATACAGTTAAAAGAAATCAAGAACATACCTGTGGAACATTCTTTATAACAGGCACTGGCTGAATAATGGGTAAAACATCAGATTTAGAAGCAGCAATTGGCTCAACTGGAGTTGATATGTTCAGTGGTGCCATTCTCTCATCTTGATCATTTATCAATTCTATATTTTCACTTACTTCTACAGAAGGAGGTGGCATCTGGGCAGTAGGTTTAGAAGGAACTGATTCTTCCAGTGAAGGATAAGTAAAATCCACTAAAATCCCCAAAAGAATAATATTTTTTCAAAGAACAGCAAACCCCATAAATAGTACTTACATATCTCATGCATGTTATATGTAATAGTTAAATGTAAAGTAAATGAGGTGACAACCACAACAATCTTAAAGAATTAACTTAACTTCCAGGCTGTGGACACCTCGTATTTTTTATGCCTGAAAACAAACTGCTATCCAATAGGACAAGTACACACACAACCAAGAACATTACCCTGAGAACATAAATAATTTAAAGTTAATCCAAAGCAATTTTAAACAAAAATTTTCACATACATACATGAGATAGACACCTCTTCATTCTTGCCTCGTGGGGGTGGAGTGACTTTAGCATTTGTAGTATACTGAGGATAACAAAGGAGCCAGTTTTCATAGCCTCCTTCTAAAACCAAAGGCTCATTGCGCAGGACAGTTTTACTTTCCCACTATAAAATAAGGAAATAGTATTTTTAATATGGCGGCAGTCTCTTCACAGTTAAAAACACAAAAAACTGAATTTGAATTTTAAAACTGCTCTCTTAAAGATTCATCTTTGAAATGATAAAAAATGAGAGCTGAATTCAAAATTCAGCATTGAATGAAAGAAATGGATAGATCAGGTTTTTAAAACCACACAAGTAATCCATGATCTTAGAAGAAAGTCATGAAAAAAAGTTCATATACAATAAAAATCATCCATAATCTAACCACCCAGAGATACCACTTTAACATTTTAGGGTTTAGTCTTAGAGTTTTCTATGCAGACGTATATTTTTTAAATTTTATTTTTACAAAACAGTGAAACTTCTATGCTGCTGCTTTTCTCTTTTATGAACATCTTTTATTAACAGTTATATCACCATTTGTAATGACCAGATAATATTCTATTTTATACACACACACACACCACCCCCAAACTGAATCAATCATTGGAATACATTATGGTTATTTTCCCCATTTAATTATAAACAATGCTGAGATAAACACTGAAGATCCTTATATATGCACACACCCAATCAACCCCATTAGGGAAAATCCCCAGAAGTGGTGTTGCTGAGCCAAGGCACATGAACATTTTAAGGCTTTTGATATATATTCCTAATCTTTAAATGACCTTTAAAAATATATATCCATATATTTTTATAGGGTAATTTACTAGAACTAGAACTGCTGGATTGAAAGTTTGGTAGATGCTGCCAAATTGCCCTTCGGAAGGACAATACCAATTTATATATTTGCCAATACTGTATGAGAATGCCTATTATAAATCTTTATAATTTTTACCAAACTGGTAGACATAAAATGGTATCATGTTTTAATTAGCTTTTATTAGTGAAGCTGCACATCTTTTAGTATATTTATTAACCACTGATACTCTAGGACATAACTAATCTCCCTTGTCCATTTTTCGGTAGAGTTTGCTATTTTCTTAGTAAATAGTGAAGGTACTCTGAATATTAAGAAAAATAGCTCTTTGTCATATATGTTACAATTATTTTTCCTGATTGACTTTTACTTTACTTATAGGATTTTTAACACAGTCAAATATATAGATCTTCCTTTACAGTGTCTTGATTTAGGATCAAGATAATAAAAAACACCCACAAATGGTTTTTCCTAGTATTTCCTGTTTCAATCAATATATTTATGTCATTGACCCATTTGGAATATACTGTGATCTAAGAAGTAAGGTAGGGGTCCCCCTTCTTTACTTAGTGGCTAGCCAGTTGTCCCCAAACCATTCATTTCAATGCATCTTTTCCACACTGATTTATGTCATCTTTACCTTATGAAACCTTTACCTTTATGAAACTGCCACTTTTGTAGGTCAAAACTAATTGATTATTAGCAGTTTCATATAGCAATCTATACTTGGGTGTATTTCTAAATTCCCTGTTTTAAAGCATGACTTGTTTTAAGGCTTTAAGATTGCCCTCCTGAAGAGTAATGCTCCATCAACTGACCTTCCTACCAGCACATTATGTTTAATCTTACCAGCATTCAGTGCTATCAGTTTAATAATTTAACAAATTAAACTGGGCGTTTTTACCTTTGTTAATTTAATCAACAAAATGGTGTTCACTATTTCAATTTGCATTTCTCCCAGTAAAGATGATCATTTTTATGTTCTTTTTTTTTTAAATTTTATTTATTTATTTGAGAGAGAGAAAGCACATGAGAGGGGGGAGGGTCAGAGGGAGAAGCAAACTCCCCGCCAAGCAGGGAGCCCGATGTGGGACTCGATCCAGGGACTCCAGGATCGTGACCTGAGCTGAAGGCAGTCGCTTAACCAACTGAGCCACCCAGGCGCCCCCATTTTTATGTTCTGTCACTTATTCAGGTCTGTGTCCACTACTTATTTTACTATTTTATCTTAAATAATTTTATTTGCAAAAGCTCTTCATATTTTAGGTGTCCTAAACTACAGTTGGCTGTTGAACAACATGGGTCTGAACTGCACAAGTCTACTTACACACTTTTTTTTCTTTTGAGTTGACAGCAAAAGCCACGGGCATTTATTTACAACTGCCCACCCTAGTCTCCATGGAAACAAATCAAAAGTGACTGGTGCAGAGGTAGTGCCTGCTGTCCACTGAGTACCTGGGGAAACCTCCCAAGGCTGTCAGCAGCCCTCAGCAATCCCCAGCAGCCCCGAAATGGACAGGGCTATAGGTCACCATGTCCCAACAGAGTGGTTAGGTTGAAAGCCCTAGGCTGGCAGGCAGGAGGCTGGCGGAAGTGGAGGAATGCACCCAGAGGGCAGCACAGTGCTGCCCAGGAAGCCCGGCATCCCTGACACTCCCCTCTCCCGGCCCTCGTCTTCCTTGGGTTTAGGATCCTCCCTGGCCAGGGGCAGATCACTCGCCACGGTGGTTCCTGGAGGCCAGAACACACATGTGCGGCTGCAGTTGCCAACAGCCCCAGGCCGGTGGTACACCTCTAGGCAGACGGGGCAGCTGTACTGTGCTCGGGGGTGCCGTTGCTACTTGCAGGCCTACCCAGCAGTTGCCACTGCTGAGCGGAGGCCACCAGGCTGCGGAACATTGCCATTCCAGGGCCAGATCCACTGTTGCCACCAACCTTGTCCTGACACTACCCATCCGCCTATATGGGCAGATAAATATATGCACAGTAGATATACGTACAGTACTATAAATGTAGTTTCTCTTAAGATTTTAATAACATTTTCTTTTCTCTAGCTTACTTTACTGTAAGAATACAATACATGATACATATACAAAATACATGTTAATCGACTATTTATGGTATCAGTAAGGCTCTGGCCCACAGTAGGCTATTAGTAGTAAAACCTGGGAGAAGTCAAAAGTTGTGGCAGGGTGTTGGCACCCCTAACCCCTGCCTTGTTCAAAGGCCAACTGTACTACCATATTTGTTGCAAATATTTTCCTGTTTGTCTCCTACATTCTAATCTTCCGGTATTTTTTCACACTTAAAAGTTTTATTTTATCAAGTCAACCCATCTTTTTCTCCTTAGGAACTTCTTCCTTTGCTTTTATGTTTTCATAGTCTAATTTTTTTTTTTTCCATAGTCTAATTCTTAAAACAAAAAATAATGCTTTTTTCAGACAATTTATGATGTTCCTGGAAATTCTAATCCTACTTTATATAGATCAGTTTATTATTAGTTGGTGATTTAAAACTAGTCTTTTGGGTCTGAATTAAAAAAAAAAAATCTACAACCAAAGCTGATGGATGTTCTTATCCTTAAGATAAACAGCTAGTCAATATACCTTTCTAACAACCAAATAAGGCTTACAATTACAATAAACAAGGAAACTTGCTAACCTTGAAAAGTGCATCTTTCAGACTCCGTAGAGTTGTTCCAAGTTGTAAATCTTTTGTAGAACTAAACCAGTCAAGAAGTACCACATATTCCACATTCCCCCTCTTCTTCCATGTGTCTTTAGAATCATCTGGGAGTTTTGCTTCAATCCAACTAGCAGTGACTCTGAAATGTTAATGGGCAAAGGTAGACAAGAGGTCCTAATATACTAATATAAGTCACTGAGTTTTCTTCTAGTCTGTATCACACCATAGCAAACTTTAACATTTCTTTCTAAGGTCAAACTGTGTATTAGGATATTAAATATCCTAAAATGTTTAACAACTTCACCTCTGCATAACATTGGAATATATTTTAGTAATCATTAGAAACTAAAAGACATAGACTCAATTCTGACCCTTCACAAAAAAGGGGGCCATTTGAGCATCTCTCTCAGCCATATGTAAATAACTGGGGGGATCACTTAAGTAACATTATTTATACTTCAGTTCTCGTATACCTATATAATTAATAGCTAAATACGAAAATGTTTATTTAACAAACACACAGAGCATTTACTATGTGCCAGGTACTATTCTAAATGCTTTGTTCTCATACAATCTCACTGAATCCTTGCTACAAATCCTATGAAGTAGACATTACTATCCCCATTTTATAAATGGAGAAACGGAGGCACAAAGATGTTAAGTAACCTGCCCAAGGTTACAGCTGCTAAGTCAAGTCAAATTCAAACTCAGGCAATCTGGTTCAAGTCCATGCTCTTAGTTGCTTTGTGGTGCTGCCTCTTATCATCAACTGTGAATAATATCAACTCTGTATTAAAGCATGTTGTTCATGTTCTCTTTTGCTCACATACAAGTTAAAAGTTCGTACCTAAAGTCTTGAGAATGGGCCTGCAGCATGGCCCCTCCCCCCAATCCTATTGTATCAACTCCTCATCACTAACTACTTAGCCCCTCACTCCACTCCTCGCCAGCCACTGGCTTCCTTGTAGTTCCTGGTTATCGAAGTATTCTCCTGCCTAAGGGCCTCTGCTCCTGCTGCCCTTCTGTCTGGAACCCTTTCCCGCAGATAACTGCATCACTCATTTCCCTTATCCCCTCAAGATCTGCTCAGTAGTAACTTTGCTGCGAAGCTTCCCTGGATTAAAATTTTAATACCTATCCCAGTGTACACACTTGACACACCCATGTCCATAGCACTTACTAGTAGCAGGCATACATCTCAAGTTTCACTGTCTGTTTCACTGCCCCACCTCCCTGTTAAATACAAGTTCTGTGAAGCAAAATTTTTGTTCAATAGTTAAGCCCCAGAACTTAGACCATAGCAATCCAGCCCACAGTAAACTAATGCTTAGTAAATATCTGCTGAATGACTGAATGAATAATATAGTAGAATAATACAGACTTGCTCCTCCAGGTAAGGAACTCCATATTATTCCTAGCAAAGCACCTTAGCATTTTAATATTTAAGTGATGATACTGGCAAGGCAGGACTGGTGCACTTTTATTCACAAGACAAAATGGTTTGGATTTAAAAGAAAAAAAAACTCATTCCTATATAATAATACTGGTTACTATATCTTCTAGGAAAATAAAGAAAAAGAGAAGAAATATAAAATATTGTCTCATAATAGTCTCACCTGATACACAGTGATTGGAAGGATGTTTAGTCAACAAAGAATGAAAAATACTGAAATGTCATATTCTTAAGGACTATTTCTGACTCTAGGGATGTATCTGCCTAAATACTCTTTGTCTAAAAATTCAAGATCGGTATTCTATAAAAAACACTTTAGGAAATAATAGTATCAACCAGTATTTCCTAAATTTCAGTCTTTCATGTATCATCTTTACAAGCTGCTTCAATTTTGCTCTACCTTGCCTATTATTTAATATTTTAACTTAATTATTTAATTACTTAATTGAAAGTGATCCTTTACTTAACACGAAAATGTATATTCCTATATACATGGAAAAACAGCATCATATCTAATATAAAGGACGATCATAAAAATAAGATTGATCAGGAAATTATGTTATAGGCACACAATAGTCAGCATACAGCAATGAGGATAAATGAACCACAACTATACACAATAATATAGATGACTTTCACAAACACAAAGTTTTGGTTTTGTTTTTTTTAAGATTTTATTTATTTATTTGACAGAGAGAGAGAGAGAGAGAGAGAGAATGAGTGTAAGAAGGGGGAGCGGCAGGCAGAGGGAGAGGGAGAAGCAGGCTCCCAGCTGAGCAGGGAGCCCAACACAGGGCTCGATCCCAGGACCCCGGAATCATGACCTGAGCCGAAGGCAGATGCTTAACTGACTGAGCCACACAGGCGCCCTCACAAACACAAAGTTGAGTTTAAGAAGCCAGACATAAAAGACTACAGATTGTATATTTCCTTTTATATAAAATACAAAAACAGACAAAAATACATCTGTTCTGTTAGAAGCTGGTGGTTCCCTTTGGTGGGTGGGATATGGGTAGTACCTAACAGAGGGCATATGAAAGGCTTCTGGAGGGACAAGGAAGAGAGTCAGCTACAAGTGGGAAGTAGAAGTTAGGAGTGGAGATGGTACCCAGAGCCAAACACTGTCTGTCAGGGGCACCTGGGTGGCTCAGTCGTTAAGCGCCTGCCTTTGGCTCAGGTCATGATCCCAGAGTCCTGGGATCGAGCCCTGCATCAGGCTCCCTGCTCAGCGGGAAGCCTGCTTCTCCCTCTCCCTCTCCCCCTGCTTGTGTTCTCTCTCTCACTGTGTCTCTATCAAATAAATAAATAAAATCTTAAAAAAAAAATTAAATAAATTTAAAAAAAAGAAACACTTCTGGAATGATGGTAATATTCTATTTCTGGTCCAGATGTTAGTTAAATGGGTGTGTTCAGTTTTTGAAAATTCACTGGGCTAAATACTTAGGAGTACTTTCGTTTGTATACTATGCTGTATTAAAATGTTAAAAAAGATAATGAAGGAATATAGTAATCATCATCAGCTAGCTGCAGATACTGTTACCTATGAAAAGTTCTGAGGCCTGCTCTCAAAGAAAGGAGATAAGAAAATATTAAAAAGGAATGCTAACACCAAACTGAGACTTCTTATAATTACTTCTGAAAGACTGAAACAAAAATTAAAGGGGAATAATTTTCTTGGCAATGCAGTTCACTGTTCTTTAATTTTCAACCTAAATTCATCATGAGTTTCACAGTAGTCAAATTTCTCATATTTTGGGAAACCCTTAAGCTCAATAAAAACCACCAGCTTTCTGTTACTACAGATTAGACCATCCAAAGATTAATTACAATTTTGTCTTTTCAAATCCTGGGAATATATTCACACTTACTTGATTAGACTAAGCACTCCAGTCTCACTTTTAAACAGCATATTTACAAAGCGCCCTATTCTTCAAGTCAAACATTTGTCAAGCATCAACAATGTGCCAAAAACTATACAAATTTTATTACCTAATTTAAAAAGTATATCTTTTCAATGTTAAGTTAGACCTTAAAATGGGCCATAGATTTTAGCTAATCCAATCCCATAAACTAAGACCCAGAGAGGTTATATAATTTATATAACACTCAAAACAGTAAAAATACCTCTGATATGGAGTTTTAGCTCTTTCGCTATTATGACAGTTTTTAATATGTGATAGATCCATGCAAGTAAGTTTAAATTATTTTATAGATTAAAGCCTAATCAAAAAAGAAAAACTTTTTAGTAAGTCCTTACTAGTGCCAGCCACTGTGCTAAGTGTGTGTGTATAAAATTTATCACTTAAACGTCTCAAAACTTCTGAAATAGGTAGTTTTACTATCCCTATTTTACAGATGGAAACATGGGCTTAGACAGGTGAGGTCAATGGCCAAAAGTAGAGTAGCTGATAAGAGACAGTTACGATCTGAATATAGTCTGACTTTAGAGTCTATCTGCTTACTGAATCATTTGGCTATACTGCCTTTTCCCACCTCCCCACCCCCCAAAAAGTGTTTGTGTACTCTTTTACCACATATAATAGCATGGGGTATTTCAAAATAAAAAAAGATTAGTTCACAATTTTAGTCAATTTGGTGCATATGCTTCACAAGCTCACAAATAGAAAATAATAGGAGAAACTAGTCAACAAAAAGCTCAGGAGAGAAGGCACACAAAGGCAGCTTCATTTCTTTTCTAATAAGATTACACATGTCACCAATAGGAGAAAATTGCCAAACCAGAATGTTCTTTACACCACCCTTCAGAGAAAGAGTAAAGTTTGCCATTAAGGAGCAACAGGAGGAGAAAAACCTACTTTATCATATGTAGCTTGGATGCTAAGTAATAATATTTACTACTACCCACAGTTAACCATTTTACCTAAATACACAATGACTCACCCTGGACTGATGGCTTCTTCAGGAACATTGAGAGAATTTGAAATATGGGAATCCTGATAATCCTGCATTCTTCGAGCATCCATTATAATCAAGCTGATGTTTTCATCCATCATCATTGTGTATAGCTCCTTTGCTGTGACTGTTCCTTGGAATCAAGAGAGACAATATAAGCAACAAGAAACACCTAGTTCTGTTCAGTAAACACAGAACAATCATTTCTTCTTCTAGAAGAGCAAAGTGTACTAGGTATCATATACCTGCTATCCCATCATACTATTTATTACTTTTTAAACTACCATTAAATATAATTTGTGTTTTTGACATTTATCAAGAAACTAGTTCAATGTTGTTTCTGAAGGCTTAAAACACCAAAACTTGCTCTTAAGGTTACAACTACACTGGTGCTGGCTCTATTGCTGGAATAAAATAAAGGAAATTAATATATGTATCTCATGAAAATATTCTTATTCTCTTTTTGATAATTAAATCATTTGACAAATGTCAACCAGAAGAAACATCTATGGTTCAAAAATTCTTTTTTTTTTTTTTTAATTTTATTTATTTTTGAGAGAGAGAGAATGACAGAGAGAGAATGACAGGGGTGAGGGTCAGAGAGAGAAGCAGACTCCCTGCTAAGCAGGGGGCCCGATGCGGGACTCGATCTCAGGACTCCAGGATCATGACCTGAGCCGAAGGCAGTCACTTAACCAACTGAGCCACCCAGGTGCCCCTATGGTTCAAAAATTCTTGACAGGTTCTAAATTTTTTTTAAAGTCTCTGATGAGGTCTTATGGGGGCTATTTGAAAAACATTTAGATTTTCAAGTATTCCTAGAGTAATAAGCCAAAAGCTTGTTATTTGTATTCTGCATCAGGAGTTGACAAATTATGGCTACCTGTTTTTAGTGGAACATAGCTGAAGAAAAGTGTTTACATATTGTCTATGGCTGTTTTCTAGCTGAGACAGAAAGAATGACAGTATCCCTCACCCCCAAGCCTTAATGTTTACTCTCTAGCCCTTTACTATTTAGCCAAAATAAATATCTGTTATGTTGCTATCTTCCTCTTCTAGCTACTACCACCTGCAATGGAAGATTAAAAAGCACAACAAGGTCAACTATACTTCAATAATAAAAACTTTAAAAATCAATAAACAGCATACATAGATTAACAAGCAAACAAAGATTTAAAAAAATAAAAAGCTACTACAAGGGAGCTTAAAATGTAAAGAACTATTTTGGCAGTGAGATGTGAGAAGAACGTAGTCACAGTATCTCCTAAGCTAAAATACCCACTGGCTAATAACCATCCTACTTCCCTCTCTAACCATCAAGATCATTTTGACAACAAAATAGTCTTAAAAAGTTGGGAACAAACCACTTAGAAAAGTAACACCCAAGCAGGATGACATACAAAAAACATAGATAAAAACAAATCTTGGAATGAATTAATAACAGCTTTTAGGAAGATATCTTACTATATTGTTTATTATTTTTATTTTTATTTATTTGACAGAGAGAGACACCACGAGAGAGGGAACACAAGCAGGGGGAGTGGGAGAGGGAGAAGCAGGCTTCCCGTGGAGCAGGGAGCCCGATGCGGGGCTCGATCCCAGACCCCGGGATCATGACCTGAGCCAAAGGCAGATGCTTAACGGCTGAGCCACCCAGGTGCCCCTACTGTTTATTTTTTAAATTGCTGTATGGTAATATTTAATTTTTTTTAAAGATTTATTTATTATTCTAGAGCAGGGGAGGGGCAGAGGGAGAGGGAGAGAGAGACTCTCAAGCAGATTCCCCTGCTGAGCATGAGGCCCGATGTAGGGCTTTATCTCATGACCCTGAGATCATGACCTAAGCCAAAATCAAGAGTCAGACGCTCAACTGACTCAACTGACTGGGCCACCTAGGCTCCCCGTTGTACAGTAATATTTTAAATAGAGAATTTATTTTAGTGTTACATACAATTGATATTTAAGTTGAACCTTTCCTGAGAGAGGAAAACTCATGCAACTGTCTGAGTTTTGCTGTTTAGGTCACATATTTGTGACTGGAGTATCAATACCCCCTATGGATAACATCCAAATTACTGGTTTAGATTTTTTTGAGGGAAATGGGGAAGACTTTTAAATAATTAGGTCTACAAACTAAAGTCATAAGTCATAATAGCTAATACACATATCCTTTTATAAAGTTCACTTATATAAAGTCACGAAGAGTTTCATATATATTAACTTATTCAATCTTTACAGTAAGTTTATAAAATAGATACTATCAGCCTCACTTTGCAGATGGGGGTTAAGGTAGAGAGGTTAAGTAACATGCTCAAGATCACATGGAAATTCAAAGGAGGAGACAGTATTCAAAATCCAGGCAGTCTGACTTTGGGGAGTCGTGCTCTTAACCGTTATGCTAAACTACAGCTTGAAAAAAAAGCCACTGAAAAGTACAAACCGTGGCTTTGATGTTTTTAATTACATATTACCAAAAATATTCCCCACGATATATGCAGATTATAAACATGTTTTCAATGTAATTGTACAGACTAAGAAAAATGATAAAGCTTACATACAAAATGTATGTGAACATTGTTTGCTTACATACAAACACAATGTAAAATCTGAAGCTTATTCAGATTAAAAGATCTCAATAACAACCTGCAAGGACTCCCTATTTCTGTATACACTTACCTTTCTCTGTGGTCTCATTTTTTTCACTCTTTTCACCATTTATCTGTTTCACAGAAAAAAAAAGTTTCAACTTTATAATAGAAGTAAAAATTTTCATAGAAACAGAAAATTCAACTCTACTACTTCACTGAAACTGAAATCCTAGAAAATCAGGTGTGTGGAGTACTGGCATTTTATTAAAATACAGATGAAGAATCATGGCTTCATCAGGTTATCTGGCAGCAGAAAACAGCTAAAATAACATCAGAATCATGCAACACTTCCTTGAAATTTCCTTCAGTTAAAGGCTAAATATAATATAAAATCACAGACTGTTACAGAAATTTAATATTTAATTTAATGACAAAATATTTCTTACAATGAAATAAAAATTCTGGCTATTCCTTTCAGAGTTCAGTAAAAATACAAATTTGTATTTTCTAACCAAGACAACATGGGATATTTCTGTAAGGTTCTAACTCATTTTATAGATGAAAAAGCAATTACACACTTGACCTAGTGGTCAATTTTAGCTTCACTAAAATTAAAAAAGAAGTGTATATAATGTGCCTCCTAATACAATACAGTATGAAGTGCACAGGATCCCCTATGAAGCATTCGTGCCAAAAGCAAAAACTGAACCTGAATCCTATTAAGCTTCTAGGTTGAACTTCCAGCCTACAAGAAATATAGAAGACAGAATTACAGATTAAATGCTACAAGGAGGAAACAATCAGATAAAGACAGAATGTGGTTGGTTCATTTCACAGACCTGATCTATATTAAAAAGTCAAATGCATGAAATAAAAAAAAAAATGAAAAGGGGGACTCAAGCAGAGAGTACTACAGAGACTCAACTTAAGAGACAAACAATCAGAAGACTACGAGTAGACTTTGTCTGAATCCTAATTCAAACAAATCAACTGTAAAATATCATTATGAGACAGTGGGAAAATGTAAATATAGACTGGGTATTAGATTATATCAGGGAATTATTGTTAATTTTCTGAGGTGAAAAAATAACATTGTCATTATAAAGAATATGTCCCTTTCTTTGAGATGCACACTGAAATATTTAGGAGTAAAATGATATGCCCTCTGGAACTTACTTTGAAATAATCTAGCAAAAGGGGAAAGGAGCAGATACAAAATGTGACAAATGTTAGTTGGTTATTGACACTGGGTAAGAGTGTCTAATTACACTTTTTTTCAGTATAAACAGGCTAAACAAAAGTAAAAGTAATAAAAAGTAGTTGACTCTCCTGCTGGAAAGGCAACAAATTGAAGAGATTTAAAAGTCCCTTTCATTTAGTTCTTTGAAGTCTTGTCATTTACCTGTATCAGCCATTTGACCTACAAAAGAACATCCCCCTAAGGCAGTGTTATTTATCTTACATTATGAGTTCCTAAAATCAACAAACCATATTTCTTCACTTCTTTTTACAAAGTGCCTAGTACAATGTCACAAGTATTTCAACAACTATTTCTTAATGAAACCGATGATGATTCACATACAAATGATAGCTGAAAGCTACAAAATCCTTAAGAAAAAGTAAAGCAGAAATCTCTCCATGAATTTTGACAGTGCATAAGAAATTATATTTTAGGAAACACACACAAAAGAAAAGAAAGAAATTATATTTTAGGAAGAGTAGTTTCTCAGGAGGTGAAAGGAATGAGATACAGTGGTAGCTGGCAGGTACAGATTGAGTCACAGATTTGGCAAACAAATGATGTGGCAAGATTACAAGTAGTCACTAAATAAAATGGAACAAAAGAGGAAGAAGAAAGGGAAATGGTCAGAAAGGAAGAAAAAGTGAAGGAGAGAGTATGAGACCCTAGAAACAGATAAGGTTGGGCATCAAATTAGTAGTATACCAAGTCTTTTTCAATGTAAATTACATTTATTAGAAAGAAGAGACCTTAAAGATCATCTATTTCAAGATCTTTATTTGGCAATGAGGAAATGAAGTCCTAGAAGGGTGAAGCAAGACTTGACATGGGGCCGAAACTCAGCTCAAATGCTTTCTACTGCTCTAATCAAGTTGATAGTAATGGCAAAAAAAAAACAAAAAAAACTAATTAATGCACAGAACAGAGTTCTGTAAAGCTCCAAAAGAAACCTGGAATCAAATGAAGCTAGAATATTTAATTCAATTTCTAATAAAAACACATTAAATTTTACCCTTGTTGCCTAAAAGTACATTGTAGTGGTAATCTCAGCTTGCCTTAAGCAAATCATCTGAAAAAAGAACCAGTCTTTTTACTTCACGAGTATGTTTGAAATACCTTTTGGGTTTTGTCTCTGGAATCCATTACATTTTCCAAGGACCTTTTAGGTGATGTGCCACCATCCTCTCTTCCTGTTTCCTGCCTTTTCTGTTTCTGCAGCTGCTCTTCCTGTCTGTCCTTTTCTTCAAGTTTTTTCTGAACTTCGGCTTCTTCGTATCTAGTTAAGAAGTCAAGATGTCTTTCATTGACATGATCATGAAAAATAAAGAGTTTCAGTTCCATAAAATTAGTACCCTACTGTCGGGTATTTTATGGCAGCATACTTTCTCCCTCCAACTGAAATTTGACTCTGCTAGTGTTCTGTTACAAACCACAACTCATAAATTTGCCCTCTGTAGATTTATTTCAAATTGCCCAAAAATCTTGAAAAGAAACACTATGCTCTCAAGTTAAAGTTGTTTAATGCTCTTTTTGTTCTTACCCTCCCACTAATTTCAACCTTTAAAAATTCCAAATCTCCTGCAATTTCTTTTTCAAAGGACTTACACTTTTAAAATGAACTCTAAAGACTCATTCACTTATAAAATAGTTCAAAATATAAAAAAGTAAAGACAACAAATAAGTGAGAAAATGGGCTTAATGACCAAAAGATAAAGGAGTATCTTTGGTAAATACAAGTAGGGAAAAACTTCTCTTTCCAAGAGAAACATCAATAAAGGGTAATCCAAAGATTTGGAGAAATTCTGTTCTACTCAGTTGATCAACTGGTGAAAGGAGGAAGAGAATGGTGATTCTAAATTGTACCAACCACCCTAACATATTCCAGCCCCAAAATTAGTAATTTCTGAAAAGGACAGAGGGAATATATTAATTCTAAAAGATAATTTCTAAGTAAAGACTATGATGTATATAACTAGAATAGTTCATTGATCCAACCGTGAAAAATCATTTAGAAAAATAGTTCCCTTTTTATTTTCGTTAAATAATGACTAATAACTAAAAATTGAAACGTACTGTTTTTAACGTCTAATTACTTCATAAGCCTGGTAAGCCAGTCATGGTAAATACTAGAATTAGATCTATTTTTAAACATTCATAGCTACTGCAAACTAGGCAGCCTAGTTCAAAACTAACAGTAAATACTTCATTCCCATAAGACCAGTGTCCAGTAGCACATTACAACCTGGGGCATATGAGGAATTACGTTTTTCTGAAGAATCCCATCAGAGAATTAGAAAAAAATTGAACCTAAGCTCTGATGTACTACACCAATGCTTACCTTAAAAATCTATCATTCTAAACATTTTTAGATTTTTAGTAAAAAATATGAATGGTAACACATCAACACAATAAAGGTAATATGGCAAAAGATTCTAATTTTTGTGCTCCAGTTAACATAAGATTTATTTCTAAGAACTGGGATTCATATGCATGGTCAGATATAAATGAACAAGTTCTAAATATTATTTTTATCTTCGAAATTTATGTTCTTTTAAAGATTTTATAATAATATCTGTACCTGAGTTTAAGGCTTTCAGAGAGTCTTTCAGCTTCTTCAATAGCTTTTTTGATGTTTCCAAGTCCGAGTATTGAATGGAAATAGTCCTAAAATTATAAGAAAACCGTACTGGCCAGTGTACACAGCAGTAATGCTATAAACGTTAAAATCACGGTGCTTATGTAAAGCAAGACTGGATGAAAACATGATGATGACTGAACGAAGTGTTTTTTTAAACTTTTAACCTACATCAACACACAACTTGTTCTCCAAATGTTTCAAAAACATCTCTTCATACCATTAGTTTGCAAAAAAAAAACCAACCCTAAAAGGTAATAATTTTATTTATTTGGAAGACGCCTTTAAGAAGTATAAATACTGGGGCACCTGGGTGGCTCAGATGGTTAAGCGTCTGCCTTCGGCTCAGCTCATGATCTCAGGGTCCTGGGATCGAGCCCCGCATCGGGCTCCCTGCTCAGCGGAGAGTCTGCTTCTCCCTCTCCCTCTGCCTCTCCCCCTGCTTGTGAGCTCTCTCTCTCTCTCAAATGAAAAAAGAAAAAAAGAATAAATACTATTCCTATTATTTATGAATAAGTTCCAAAAAGCAAAGCTTTCAGAAGCAAAATATATTTTCCTATTGTAAATATGTTACTTGGGGTTTTTTCTCGAGAATCAGAAGCAGTCAAGCAAATTGTATATTGACCTACAGCATGGTATTTATTTTGTTTTCCTTGTTTTAAACTGAGATGTTTTTGCCTCCACCTTTATTTTATAATAGCGACCCACCTCTCAACTGGAGTCAAAACACTTTTGACATAAACCAAGTTTCACACTGAGGAAACCTTGAGTAAAAATCAAATGGTAGAAATAAATCATTAATAATATAATCTTTAAAAAAAACCACAAAAGGTTTGGCACATAACTTACTAACAAGCATAATAAAGTTAAGAAAAATAACTTCTCTAAGAGGTCATTCATTAGATCCTGCAATCAGAGATATTTTCAAATCAAGGTTGGTTGGACATGACAGTAGCACAGTGAGACTCAGCTAACTGATTTTTGGATCTAATTATCTAATTGGCCACAACCTGTCAGTGTGACTCTGAAACAGAACGTAGTAGCACAGTTCATCACAAATGATGTAATAAATAGTAATAAAAAATTTATAAAAAGAAAGACCAAGAGGCTAGATATCCATCATTGGCTCTCTGAGAAGCAGTCACTAAGAGCTGGTGGAGTAAACCTATTGATAACAGCTATCATATGTCTATCTAGCCGAAAAGAAGATCATGTTTTGGGGTTCCTGGCTGGCTCAGTAGGTAGAACATGCAACTCTTGATCTCAGGGTCGGGTTGTGAGTTTGAGCCCCATGCTGGGTGTAGAGAATACTTAAAGTACATAAATGAAAGTACATCATGTTTTGGTAAGGCTTATTCTTCTAAATAAAGACTAAATAAATTAAAAGGCCCTTCACTATGTAATTTCAATAAAAATATATTGTTTTTTCAATATTGTATCAACTGAAAATTTCAGTTGCCACAATGTCCAGACTTTTGATGCAATATGTTTCTTTTTTTAAGATTGTATGTATTTATTTGTCAGAGAGAGAGAGTGAGCACTAGGAGGAGCGGCAGGCAGAGGGAGAAGCAGGCTCCCCGCTGAGCAGGGAGTCCAATGAGGGGCTCAATCCCAGGACCCCAGTTTCATGACCTGAGCCAAAGGCAGACGCTTAACTGACTGAGCCACCCAGGTGTCCTGATGCAGTATGTTTTTAATAGAAAACAAAATTTAATCATTATGGTAAGATTTCTCTCATAAAAATAAAACACAAAAACAAAATTACCGTGACTTGTTTTATTAATTTTTTGACATGAAATCATTAAAAAGCCAGCCTGTAAGACCAGCTTAACCCTGTTTAAATCCTGAAAAAATTGTTTGTGTTTGGGCATGCCTGTTACAAACTTCCACAAGACACTCCCCTAATATTAGTGAGGTTTTTTATCAATAATTCTCTCTCTCTCTGTGCTCTTAAAGGAGCACAATTAAAATTTTCAAGTTTACAATAGTATTGACAATTGGCAGAATAGAAAAATAACACCCAATTCTTACACAACTAAAAATGTTTTTCAGCTTTACCTACGTAGAACTTTCTTATTCCTGAACATAAAAATTCAAACAAGTCTCATGATTTCCCAAATAAAAAGGCTTACCAATAATATTTAGGATTAATTATCATGTATACCATGCAGATTTGAAAATATAATTCTATCTAGACTTTGCTACACTAATATTTTCAATATTTTCTCCCTTTCCAGATAACCCTGAAAATAACTGTTCATAAACAGATTTTTTCAATGACTAAGAAATATAATGTGTCCTTTACTAGTGACCTTGCTAAATTAACGTTCTATCTAAATCTTAAATATTCCCTCATGTAAAACAAAAGTGAAAGATACAAGTTTCTGAAGAAGACTAGTGACATTATATTCTGCCCCTACCCGATTTAAAGTGTAAAACCTAGAAAATGCCTAGTTAGTAAATTTAACACTTCACACATTTAAAGTGCACTGGAGATGTTGGGCTAAATAAAATAAAACAAAAAAACAGCTCTTTTTTTTAAAGATTTTATTTATTTGACAGAGAGAGACACAGCGAGAGAGGGAACACAAGCAGGGGGAGTGGGAGACGGAGAAGCAGGCTTCCCGTGGAGCAGAGAGCCCGATGTGGGGCCCGATCCCAGGACCCTGAGATCATGACCTGAGCTGAAGGCAGACACTTAACAACTGAGCCACCCAGGTGCACCAACAAAAAACAGCTCTAAGGCAGAAGCAGAAATGTACCCTGGACAGAGGAAAGAACTACAGTGTATGAAGTATCAGCCTGAGTTACCTGAGCCCTTGCAGAGAGCTTCCTATGCTGAACAACTCCTGCAACTTTCAACTACTCCCTTTGGAAATGTAATAGATACTCTGTGGAAATGGAAAAAAATTCTTACCGATTAAACTTCACTCCTAATCTTCTCAAGTTAAAAAAGTAGCTATAAAAACACTCCCAAACTTCTCAAAGAAAAAAAAGTAACCACTAACTTAGAAAACTTCAGCAAAAAGTCCGGGTGCCTGGGTGGTTCAGTCAGTTAAGCGTCTGCCTTCTGCTCAGGTCATGATCCCAGGTCCTGGGATCAAGTCCCGCATCCGGCTCCCTGCTCAGCAGGGATTCTGCTTCTCCCTCTGCATCTGCCTGCCACCCACCAACCCCCTCCCCGCCCCGGTCAAATGAATAAAATCTTAAAAAAAAAAAAAGAAAGAAAACTACAGCAAAAAGTAAATACATAAAAAATTGGCCCTACCACAATAGACAAAACAGCAGACACCAAAACTACCAAGTAATCCAAAGTTGCAAATCTTTCAAAAATATTTACTTTACTAAACACTTTTACACTTCTTTTAAAAGCAACTCTGCTTTGGGATGCCTGGGTGGCTCAGTTGGTTAAGCGTCTGCCTTTGGCTCAGGTCATGATCGAGTGACCGTGATCAAGTCCCACGTCAGGCTCCCTGCTCAGCGGGGAGCCTGCTTCTCCCTCTGCCTGTCACCCGCCCCTGCTTGTGCTCTCTCACTCTCTCTCTCTGACAAATAAATAAATAAAATCTTAAAAAAAAAAAGCAATTCCACTTTAACAGATACTATAAAAACCATCAAAGAGCATGCAGAAACTTGTTTGAATTTGGGCAGACCTCTGTATCTGCAGATAGGTATGCCCAAGAATGTTCTAAGGATAGGACCAATCTAGCCATCTGTGGACAGAAGGATGAGCCTCCAAACGTAAGGGGTCACCTTTCCAAAGCTAGATCTAAATCCCTGTAACTATTATTAACATAACTTTGCTGGTGAAAAGAAATACCAGCAATGATTTATCCCTATTAAATAAAACACTAAAGTCATCCCTTAACCAACAACCAAAAGAAATTATATTGGTCACACTGAAAAAAGAAAAAAGTTATTTCAAAGAATAAGAGAACATTTTTCCCTTCTGTAAGTCAATTTAAATAAGGCAAGCCAATTCAGTGAACAATAACAACAACAACATTAATTCAAGAATGGTTTCTCAACCAGGTAAGAAATCTATAAGCAGTATAGGTTGCTGCTATTGTCTGGAAGCAAGATTGCTGGTGGAACCACCAACACAATATTCCTCCAATTTCTTTAACCTATTTGCTATGTTCTTCTTTTGCCCATTTCTGGTGCAGCTGATATGCAACCATCTTCTCTAGCAAGACTTACCCTAGTCATTAGTTCTCTTTATCCATTTATACCTCTCCCACCTTCCCTCCCCGCCCCATGTCTTCAGCAAAGTGGAAGAAAGGAACTTGCTCAAAGGATTAAAAGGAAAAGTAATAATAATAATAATAAATAAAAATGGAAGCAATCAATATTAACTGATTCTTTAATATGGCTACAATATCACTCAAATATAAAAAGCTGTCACATAAAAACAAGTGACTGACCAACCAGAGACTGACAAATGAAATAGGAAGATGTGGTGTGTACACACACACACACACACACACACACACACGAAGGAGCATTACACAGCCATAAAAAGGATGAGACTGTGTAATTTGTGACAACATGGATGGACCTACAGGGTATTATGCTAAATGAAACAAGTCAGATTGAGAAAGACAAATACCATATGATTTCACTCACATGTGGAATCTAAAAAAAACTAAACAAATAAACAAACAAAATATAGAATCATACCTGTAAATTCAGAGAACAAACTGATGGTTGCCAGAGGGGAGGGGGTAGGGGATGGGGAAAATGGGTGAAGGAAAGTTCCAAGGATAAAAGGCACAACATAGGGAATGTAGTCAATGATATTACAATAGTGTTGTAAGGTGACTGATGGTAGCTACACTTGTGGTGAGCACAGCATAATATATAAATTTGTCCAATCACTATGCTGTATACCTGAAACTAATGTACATTGTATGTCAACTACACTCAAATAAAAAAGTTAATAAAAACAACGAAACACACACACACAAAATAAGTGACTAAACCTTGAATCCTGAGAAAGTAAGATTGCAGTCACATTTTTCTTATTTAATGCATGAGTAAACTGAATCCTTGCACTTGACCTGGTGATCATTTATTGTAACAGAAAACTTATGTGTCTGTACATTGCTATACACTTGTACTAACCCAAGGCAAATTAGTTAGGTGTATATAGTGTGATTACATCCACATATATACACTTACAAAAAAAGAAACTAAACATTTAGTTTGCTTTTTCTATCTGCATAAGAGTTTGAACTTGATGCTGCATAATGTGATCTAAATTTCAGTATCAGTTAAAACTTTCAGAGGAAATCAATAGCTCTACTGTGCAAAAATAAATTAGCAAATAAAAATGCAGAAATAAAAGGTACCTGCTGTTGCTTGAAATCAGGCCTTTTTTTGATAAGATTATAAACAGTCACATATTTCATATATAGTACATAGGCCTTTTCCTCATCACGATCTAATCTGCATTCTTCTGCTGTCTTGAAGATCTTGAGGGCACTCTGTACATAACTTCAATCAGAGAAAAAAATAATTAAAACACTTGACATACAGGCGGGGGGAAATCATGATTAAGGTCTACAGAGAATCTTGACAACATGAATTTCATAATTTAGACTGCACGACTTTGTAACTAACACCAAGTTACATATACATTTGGATGCAACCTGAAAATTCCCCTATCCTACATATATACTTCTGCTTCCTAATAGTTGTTTATATACCATCAAAGTGTTCAAAATGCATTGAGCCCAGTTTTAAAAGATTTGCTATGATAATCCTGAGATAAGTGGTCCTTGGGCAGCCATATAATAGTCATACTCTACGATTAAAGAACATAACTCCATACCATTTGTACTGAAGTAAGGGGAGCTAAAATCTTTAGTTAATGTTTAATGTTAAGATACTTTTCAATTCTCTTCACCCCTTTCTAACTATGTTGTAAAAATCTCCCCACCTAAAAATCCAAGAAACTAGGGACAGGGAAAGAGACATGAGTTCAATCTTTTTACTTGGTTAAAGTTTTCTACAAAATGACCAAATTGCACCCTGGTGCTGGAAGGAAAAGAGATTTAAAGTCTAAAACAAGTCTAAAAACAAGTCATCTTAAAATTCCACTTTGGTAAAATATTTGAGGATTCTGTGGCGTTCATTCTAAGGTCATGTGCCTGGTTAACAATCTTTAGAAAGCAAATTAATAAAATAGGCATTTCTGCAAGAGGAATTCAATCACTGAGGACTAAAGTTTTGGCAACCCGGTTATAGTACTAATGCTTATATATAATGTGCTTTATCAAAAACATATATACAGAGCAGTATTTCTTGTTTTCTATAATTTTCAATCTGCTCCACAACTAAAACATGGATTAATGATGAAGTTGGCCATGCTAAGAACACCACATAAAGGAACAGGGCCAAAGTTATATTTAGGACCAAAGATACACCCTGCCTAGCATATGTACACCCTGCCTAGCATGGCATCACGGTCCTAGGATAGAGATAAATCAAACCAAAGCTAGTAAGGAGATTCTCTAGAAGAGCTTAGGAGTAGGAGCAAGTTTTATCTAAACTTCTTTCTAAACTTTTATCTAAACTTCTTTCACTCTGATGCATGTGTATCTCATGAGCTTATATGTAGCAGATCAAGCTGAGATGGCCACAGTGCCACTGTGAGTATAGTGAAACAGCTAAAAATCCTAAAAGGATTCAATCATTCTTTAGAATAGTGCTATGCCATAGCAAAAACATGAGTTTGTGGTATATTTAGGGAGTCCTGCTGACACACCACTTCCTATGGGATCAGGGTGGTCCCAGAGCTAAACCAGACATTGCTAGAATGAACTGATTTGTCTCAGGATTAGATGAAGATCTCAGAAAGCTTCAAGAGGCTTTATCTTTCCCATTGTTTTCTATTTGAAAGTCATTCAGAAGTTTTTATTTTATTTTATTTTTTTTTAAAGATTTTATTTATTTATTTTAGAGAGAGAGAATGAGAGACAGAGAGCATGAGAGGGAGGCGGGTCAGAGGGAGAAGCAGACTCCCTGCCGAGCAGGGAGCCCGATGCGGGACTCGATCCCGGGACTTCAGGATCATGACCTGAGCCGAAGGCAGTCGCTTAACCAACTGAGCCACCCAGGCGCCCCCAGAAGTTTTTATTTATTTTTAAATTTTTATTTATTTATTTTAGAGAGCACCAGCACTCAAGAACCAGGGGGGTGGGGGGTGGTGGTGGAGAGAATCTTAAGCAGGCTCCACGGTGGGGGGGCCAACTCTCCACAGGGTCCAACATGGGAGTCAACCTCACGACCCAGAGATCATGACCTGAGCCAAAATTAAGAGTCGGACACTTTACGGACTGAGCCACCCAAGCGCCCCATCAACAGAAGTTAAAACAGAACTGTTTTCTCTGTTATCCCATCAATATTACCAACTTAGCTCAAGAAGTAGGCCAATCCCTCTCTTATTCTTCCTGTCTCTGAAAAGATCTGTTTTTTAAAAACCCATTTTGTCCACTGTAATACAAATGTCAGTTCATTTTGGGATTTTCTTTTCTGACTTTGTCTTTAAAGTTCCTACTATTCTCTCCTCTTCATCCCTGATGTTTTGTTTTCTTTCCACCTTCTATTTCCTTTAGAAAATGACTCATAAAGATGTCCCTGTGCATTCATAGGTCTTTTCAGATGCCTCTTCATAGGTTCATTTGGGATCATATATATCATTTTTTTAAGAGCCTCCCATTTATGGAGGAGCCATGGAACACCTCTTTTCTCTCTGATTTCTAAAATCTGTTTGCCCCAAGTCGGGGATATATGGCTGGCTAAATCCACCTTTTTTTCTGAAACTTTTATTTCCAACTCTATTAATAATATAGTTACTTATTTATCTCCAAATCTTCTCCTTTGTCAGTCAAAATTAATTTAGAGGAAAAGTTCCGCTATTGCTTTTTTGTCCCTTAACAGAGATAAAACTATCAACAAGTTAACAATTTTACTGATACCCCATTTTTAGCAATATTACTTTCAGTAAATACCAAAATTCCTCCCTATTATATTTTATCTCAGTAGATTTTGTAACCATTATCAGTGAAGTATCATCTCTAGCCTCTACCTCAGCAGGTAGATAGACTATGTCTTCAAAAATAAAAACACATAAAACAAATCATTAGATTGAAAGTTCATGTCAAATTGGCACAAATTGATGCTTTGCTAAATATCAGACAAAAAAATACATGTTTCTCCTCTTTTAATCAAAGAAAGACTGCTAGGGTAATATCTTATATGTGAAATATACAAGGATAAAAATGATCTTTAATTAAGAAGTGTATCTATACTGTTTTAAGAAAAGACATTAATTGTGGCTGAATGAGTTTTGTAGAAACCTTGTAGTCTTTACCTCTTAAACTTATAATCTGATACACTGTCCAGAGAACAGAAAATATGCATTTTAGCAGAATATATTCTGCCAAGATAAAGTTAAGAACTTCTCTAAGGAGGTCTTACTTTATTCATGTGATGATGCCATTTTTCAAATAAACTTCAAACTGACTACTTACTAACACACTTAATAATAAGGAAATGAACTAAGAATTAATATATGATTCAGTGAAACTAGCAAAGGATACATACTTCCTTGTGCTTATTTTCTCTGGTTTAACTTCTGTCTTCTTATTGAGGTCTTTTAGTGAAGAACTGAGGTAGAGTTCTTTAGGAACTGAAGCCACAGCAGGCATGATGAATAATCTTTACTTTTCCACTTTCACAATGGATGGTATACTTCATTAAAAGCAGTTCTTTTCTGAAACAAAACGAACACAAATAATTCCTTGACAACAAAACAAGTGAACCATGAAAAAGCATGAAAATCCTAAACTAAGGAGGGCACGTGTTGTAATGAGCATTGGGTGTTACACACAAATAATGAATCATGGAACACTACATCAAAAACTAATGATGTAGTGTATGGTGACTAACATAACATAATACAAAAATAAAATAAAATCTGAAAAAAAAAGAGTGAATTTTAAATTATCTTGTGTACCCATTTTGGGAATTCAAGACATTCAAGGTATCAATAAATTATTTTTTTTAAATATTCATTAACTAAATGAACTATTGTATCACTTTGCCTTAAGTATTAAGAATTTTCCTATCAAAGGAATTAACAGAATTAGGAGCGTTCATATTTTTCTACTGCTAAATCTGCATTAATGTATAGATCACAAATAGAAGTTTCATTTAGAAATATTTCCCTTTTGGGGCACCTGGGTGGCTCAGTCGTTAAGCATCTGCCTTCAGCTCAGGTCATGATCCTAGGGTCCTGGGATCGAACCCCACATCGAGCTCCCTGCTCAGCAGGGAGCCTGCTCCTCCTTCTCCCTCTGTCTACCACTCTGCCTACTTGTGCTGTCAAATAAATAAAATCTTTAAAAAAAAAAAAAAAGAAATATTTCCCTTTCTCATTGATAATACCAGTTAATAAAAAGAAGGGGAGGGGGCGCCTGAGTGGCTCAGTTGGTTAAGCGACTGCCTTCGGCTCAGGTCATGATCCTGGAGTCCTGGGATCGAGTCCCGCATCAGGCTCCCTGCTCGGCAGGGAGTCTGCTTCTCCCTCTGACCCTCCTCCTTCTCATGCTCTCTGTCTCTCATTCTCTCTCTCAAATAAATAAATAAAATCTTTAAAAAAAAAAAAAAAAAAGAAGGGGAGGTGAGGGGGAGGCAGAGGGAGAAGGAGAGAGAAAATCCTAAACAGGCTCCATGCTCAGATTGGAGCCTGATGCAGAGCTCAATCTCATGACCCTGAGATGATGACCTGAGGGGGTATCAAGAGTCAGATGCTTAACCAACTGAGCCACCCAGGCATCCCAAGATTTCATTCTTTTTATATGGTTGAATAATACTCCATTATATATATATACACACATATACCACCATCTTCCATTCACCTATCAATGGACACTGGGTTGATTCCATAATTTGGCTATTGTAAATAATGCTGCAATAAACAAAGAGGTGCATGTATCCCTTTCAATTATTGTTTTTGTATTTTGGGGGTAAATATCTAGTAGTGCAATTGCTGGATCACAGGATAGTTCTATTTTTAACTTTTTGAGGAACCTCCAAACTGTTCTCCAGAGTGGCTGTACCAGTTTGCATTCCCACCAACAGTGCATGAGGGTTCCTTTTTCTTCACATCCTTGCCAACACTTGTTTCTTGTGTTTTTGATTTTAGCCATTCTGACAGGTGTGAGGTGATATCTCATCGTAGTTTTGATTTGCATTTCCCTGAAAAGTGATACAGAGCATCTTTACATGTGTCTGTTGGCCATCTAAGTCTTCGAAGAAAAGTCTGCTCATGTGTTCTACCCATTTTTTAATTGCATTAGTTTTCTGGGTGTGGGATTGTAGGAGTTCTTTATATATTTTGGATACTAACTCTTTATTGGATATGTCATTTGGAAATATCTTCTGCCATTCAGTAGGTTGCCTTTGTTTCCTTCTTTACTTTGCAGCTTTTTACTTTGATGTAGTTTCAACAGTTTATTTTTGCTTTTTTCTCTCTTGCCTCACGAGACATAGAAAAATGTTGCTATGGCCAATATCAGAGAAATTACTGCCTGTGATCTCTTCTAGGATTTTTATGGTTTCAGGTCTCACATTTAGATCTTTAATCCATTTTGAGTTTATTTTTGTGTATGGTTAGAGAAAGTGGCCCAGTTTCATTCTTTAGCATTTAGCTGTCCAGATAGTCCAAAACTATTTGTTGAAGAGACTGTCTTTTTCCCACTGTATATTCTTGCCTCCTTTGTCAAAGATCGACCATGTAATTGTGGGTTGATTTCTGGGTTTTCTATTCTGGTCCATTGATCTACTGTCTGGTTCACTAATCTACTGTCAAAACAGTATCACACTGTTTTGATTACTACAGCTTTGTAACATAACTTGAAGCCTGGAATTCTGGTATCTCCAGTTTTGTTTTTTCTTTTTCAAGATTTCCTTGGTTATGTGGGGTCCTTTGTGTTACCATACAAATTTTAGGATTATTTGCCCTAGTTCAATGGAAAATGTTGTTGGTATTTTGATAGAGATTACATTAAATCTGTAGATTGCCTTGGGTAGTATAGATATTTTAACAGTATTTGTTCTTCTAACCTATGTGCATGGAATGTCTTTCCATTTCTTTTTGTCGTCCTCAATTTTTTTCATGAATGTTTAGTAGTTTTCAGAGCACAGGTCTTTCACCTCCTTGGTTAAGCTTATTCCTAGATATTTCATTGGTTTTGGTGCAACTGTAAACGGAATTCTTTTCTTAATTTAATTTTCTGCTGCATCATTATTAGCATATAGGAATGCCAACAGATTTCTGTACACTGATTTTGTATCCTGTCACTTTACTGACTTATCAGTTCGAGTTCTTTTTTGGTGAAATCTTTGGGGTGTTCTATATATAGTATCATGTCATCTACAAATAGTGAAAGTTTTACTTCTTCCTTATCAATTTGGGTGCCTTTATTTCTTTTTGTTGCCTAATTTCTGTGGCTAGGACTTCCAGTACTATGTTGAATAAAAGTGGAGAGAGTGGACATTCTTGTCTTGTTCTGGACCTTAGAGGAAGGCTCTGTTTTTGCCCATTAAGGATGGATATTAGCTATGTTTTTCATAGATGGCCTTTATTATGTTGAGGTATGTTTCCTCTAAACCTACTTCATTGAGGGTTTTTATTATGAATGGATGTTGTACTTCGTCAAATGCTTTTGCCATATTTATTGGAATGACCATATGGTTTCCATTCTTTTTACTGATGTGATGCATCATGTTGATTGATTTGTGAATATTGAACCACCCTTGCATCCTGGGAATAAATCCACTGGATTGTGATGTATGATTTTTTTGATGTATTCTTGGATTCAGTTTGCTAATATTTTGTTGAGGATTTCTGCATCTATGTTCATTGGATATATTGGCCTGTAGTGCTTTTTTTTGTGGTGTCTTTATCTGGTTTTGGTATCAGGGTGGTACTGGCTTCACAGAATAAATTTGAAAGTTTTTCTCTCTTCTATTTTTTGGAATAGTCTGAAAAGAATGGTATTAACGTTTCTTTAAATGTTTGGTAGAGGGGCGCCTGGGTGGCTCGGTCGTTAACCATCTGCCTTAGGCTCAGGTCATGATCCCACAGTCCTGGGATCGAGCCCCGCATCGGGCTCCCTGCTTGGTGGGAAGCCTGCTTCTCCCTCTCCCACTCCCCCTGCTTGTGTTCCCTCTCTCGCTGTGTCTCTGTCAAATAAATAAATAAAAAATCTTAAAAAAATAAAACAAATGTTTGGTAGAATTCTGTGAAGTCATCTGGTCCTGGACTTTTGTTGGGAGTTTTTCATTACTGACTCAATTTCCTTACTGTTAACTGGTCTGTTCAAATTTTCTCTCTTCCTGCTTTAATTTTGGTAGCCTATATGCTTCTAGGATTTTATCCATCTCTTCTGGGTTGTCCAATTTGTTGGCATATAATTTTTCATAATATTCTCTACAACTGTATTTCTGTGGTGTTGTTATTTCTCCTCTTTCATTTATACTTTTGAGTTCACTCTCTCCTTTTTTTTTTTTTGTCTGACCAGTTTACCAATTTTGTTATCTTTTCAAAGAGCCAGCTCCTCGTTTCACTGATCTGTTCTATTGCTTTTTCTGCTCTAATCTTTGTTATTTCCTTCCTTCTGCTGGTTTTAAGTATGTTTGTTCTTCTTTCTCTAGCTCCTTCTTTCTCTAGCTCCTTTTTCTAGCTTCTCTAAGGTTAGGTTGTTTGAGATTATTCTTGCTTCTTGAGGTAGCCCTGTATTGCTATAAACTTCCCCCTTTGAACTGCTTTTGCTGCATCCCAAAGATTTTGGATCATTGTTTTCATTTTAATTTGTCTCCATGTAATATTTTATTCCTTCTTTGATTTTTTTGGATGACCCACTCATTACGTAGTAGCATGTTATTTCACCTCCATATACTTGTGGTCTTTGCAGATTTTTTCTTGTGGTTGATTTCTAGTTTCACAATGTTGTGGTCAGAAAAGATGCATAGTATGACTCTGATCTTCCTGAATTTGTTAAGGCTTGTTTTGTGGATTTATATGTGATCTATTGTGGAGAACGTGTATTCTAATGTTTTAGGATGGAATGTTCTGAATATATCTGGTAAATCCATCTGGTCCAGTGGTCATTTAAAGCTACTATTTCCGGGGCGCCTCGGTGGCCCAGTCGTTAAGCGTCTGCCTTCGGCTCAGGTCATGATCCCAGGGTCCTGGGATCGAGCCCCGCATCGGGCTCCCGGCTCAGCGGGAAGCCTGCTTCTCCCTCTCCCACTCCCCCTGCTTGTGTTCCCTCTCTCGCTGTGTCTCTCTCTGTCAAATAAATAAAATCTTTAAAATAAATAAATAAATAAATAAAGCTACTATTTCCAGGGTGTCTGGCTGGCTCAGTTGGAGAGCAGGTGACTCTTGATCTTGGGGTCAAGAGTTGGAGCCTCACGTTGGGTGTAGAGATTAAATAGCTAAAAAAAAAAAAAAATAGTAATAATAATAACAAAACTAGTATTTCTCTGCTGATTTTGTTTGGATGATCTGTCCACTGATGCAAATGGGGTGTTAAAGTCCCTTATTGTTCCTGTGTTACTACTGATTATTTCCTACAGTTTTATGCATTTGGAAGTTCCCACTTTGGGTGCGTAAGTATTTATAATTGTTATATCTTCTTGCTGGATTGTCCCCTTTGTGATTATTTAATGTCTCTGTCTCTGTTATAGTCTTGTCTTAAAGTC